CGATCCTCCTCCTCCTCCTCCTCCTCCTCCTCCTCCTCCTCCTCCTCGAACCTCCTCGTTCTCCTCCTCCTCCTCCTCCTCCTCCTCCTCCTCCTCGAAACTCCTCCTCGAACCTCCTCCTTCTCCTCCTCCTCCTCCTCGAAACTCCTCCTTTCATGCTCGAACCTTCTCCTCTCCCGCACCTGGAGTGGTCCACCTCCTCGTCCTCCAGCCTTCGCAGCCCCTCCCATCCCGAGAGGCACCTCCCTGGAGTGCGCCGTGGCCCCCAGGTCGGAGTCCTCCTCCTCACCCTCCGACGAGTCCTCGCGGTGGAGCGGCCGGGTGGAAGGGCATTGTCAAAAACATTCAACATCGAATCGGGGAATCAGGTCGGATAGGAACGTGTATGGAATCGGGCTTCATCGGCTGGGTGTCGGAATCGAATCAGATCGGCGGGCGCCACGATGCACAACAGCGCCATACACACATCGGGCCGCGTCGGATCGCCAGAGTATGCCATTCAGGAGTCCTCCTCTTCTTTCTTACCATTTTGCCTGTCGTTCGTTTTGGAGTGGCCCAACAACTCTATGACGCTCGCTCGCGTCGGGTTTGCCAGCCCAGAAGGATGCTGCAAGAGTGTGGGAAATGATGGGGGTAGAGTAAGCAGACTGAGCACTTGAGTGCGCCTTGAGCCGACGACTGAGCCTTGAGCCTCGGGCACAGCAACTTGCTCGGCGGCGCCAGCGGCTTGACCGACGCCGAAGGGTGGTTTTGGAAATGCGCAGACGGCTGGCGCCGGCACCGAAGGCTGGAAGTCCAGTGAAGCACGTGCGAAGCTTTTGCTGGATACCGATGCCATGCGGCAGACGCCGCAGAGGGCGATGACCATCGAGACTTCGTGGGTGCGCCGCGTGCTGCAATTCCGGCGGGGCCGCCGACCGATTGGTCCGCAACTGCGGTCCCACCGCCCACAATGTCGGATTGCAAATAGAATTGAAATCTTGCTCAATTTCAATGGCGTTATGCTAATGTGTGTTTCCAAGGTCCTGGTGGGAAACACGCTGTATGTTCTGTGTCCTGGGAACCTTGTTAGGCGCTGCCTGATAACATTCTGAAAGCATACAGCTTGCAACCATGTGCTACCTCCTCACCTCCTTCAACGGTTTCGCTGCGGCGCTCGTGGCGTTCTGAGGAGGCGGGGGGCAGCAAGCAGGGAAGCCATGGTCCTGGGGCTCCATTCCACTCCGCTCCACTTCACTCAATTCTGCCTCCCCCCCGTCGATGATGACGACGACGACGACGACGACAACGACGACGACAACAATCGGGTGCTGGCTCGGGGCGTGCTCGCTGGCCTCGCCGCGCGCGACCGGCGCCTCCCGACGCAGCGACCGCGCGTCCCTACGGACCTGCCTCCGCACCGAGCAGGGTCCCTCCAGAGGGGCAGCTGTGCCCTCCTCGTCCCCTTCCGCCGGACAGCACAGCCTGCCCGGGACCAGCGTGGCGGCAAGTAGGGCTTCGGCAGGAGGACTTGCAGAGACGCTACGGGGACTACGGATTAGCGTCGTCCATAAGGGTCAGAGGGTCAGCGGGGCGCTATTGGCGGCGCGCGCTGCCAGCCGCCTCGCGACGGGCCACCCCAGCAGTGGGGCGCGCCTGCCGCGTTCGGCGGCAACTCATGGGAGTCTCCCGTGCCATCTTGCTGGCTCTTGCGAATCGGCGCTGGCCGACGCTGAATCGAGACAAAACCGACGCTTTCTCATCGATGCCAGATGCTAGCGCACGCTACTGCACTCTAAGAACCGAATTTCGAGGACGATGATTTTCCTGCACCAGCGAGCATGACCCCGAATGACCACGTGCCGGCGAGAAGCACCAAGCGAGCCCAGACCCAGGCGAGGGCCAACATGCAATAAATTAGCCAACCCTTGAAACCTTGGCCTGCGCGGAAACCGGCGGCAAGATGCGCGTGCTGACGCTGCTACCATGATTTGCTGCCGAACCTGCAGGGCTCTAATGATTTACTACCCAAGCTGCGGGCCGCAGAAGGGCTGCTCCGCGCAAGCCCTGCCGAGCTCAACTTGGCAGGTGCGCCGCCGCAGACCGCGCTGGGGCCAAAGAGGGCCGCGCGGCGACGGGGCGCGGCGGACGGGCCGAGCTCCAGCGACGACAAGCCGGGGCGCGAAACCATGAAACGGACTCGAGGTCGAGCCTCGCTCGCCACCGTGGTCGCATCCGAACAACCAGTCCTCTGCGCCTGAGGAGCACAGCTTGCGATCACGCGCGAAAGAAACATCGGCCAGGGGGCCCATAAACCGGCGAAGGTTCGCCACCCCGAAATCGATCAACGGAGGAGGAGTGGGCGACGACGAGCAGCTCGCATGACCTCAAGAGGTTCGCTCCGCAGCGGGCGCGCAGCGGCGCGCGGCGGCGGGCAGCTACGTGTGCCGTTCAGGTGATCTTGCCTGGCGCGCAGGTGCGTGACGTGAGCCTCGACATAGTGGCTCTTGGCATCGAGAGACATGTCAGCACGAGAGAGCGAGGCACCCGACAGTGGCCAGTAGCTAGTTCTCGTCGGGCTAGGCGACGACGAGCAGGAACAGCAGGGTGAGCAACATTCTGTCGGGCCTCAGCGGGCGCCCGCTCGATGGTCGTCCATTTTGAGTTGACAAGTTTTGCGGCCAGCGGCAAACCGTGTCGCCAAAGTGTCTGGCGACACGGCTCGTTCGGCCGACGGCGTCAGGGAGCCCAACTCGGCAACAAAAATGCACGCACGAACGGAGACACCTATAATGCTGTCGGGCCCCAGTGGGCGCCCAGAGGCAGATGAGCGCTGGCGCGGCGGCGCCTGCGCCGAGGAGGGGCTCGGGCTGCCGACCGCTGGAGGCGGCTCGGGCCCTGCACGGCGCAGCGGCCGCCGGGGACTTCGAGGAGATGGCCGAAGCCATGCCGCTCCGCGGCGGGGGAGCCCCTGCTGCGCGGGCGGCGGATGCGACAGCGCGGCTCCTGTGTTAGGGGCTGCGCGCGGGGGGCTGCGGCCGGCGGGTTCGGCCACTCGAGGCTTTCTCCACCCCTTCGGTACGCCGGCATGGGCAAGCCGCCGCCCGCGCTCGAAGCGGCGGCCCGCGCCTCCTTCCCCCAGCCATCCTCCTGACCTGGCTCAGGTGGCCGTGGCCGGGAGTGGCCTTTGGCGATTCTTGGCTGATTTCTTCCCCACCCTCTACAAATTTTCTCGGGCTTTGGCTGTGGGTGTCCAGGCCAGTGGCAGCCTGTCACCTTCAACTACAACAAGCATGGGTAAGCTGGACGTCGCTGGGCTGATGTTGCAGCCTTCTGGAGATCGTGTTCGGCATCTCGCTGGACAGCTTCGTGGTGAAATTCTTCGTCGTGAAGAGCCTCCCCGAGCACCTGCCGCGGGGCAGGCTAGCGGCCGATGCCAGACCGCCGTTTTGGCGATATGTTCGTATCCTTCGTCTTCTCCTCGTAGTCTGATCTTTCTGTTTACTTTTCCTCTTTCTCCGTTCCTTTGCCTTATATGATAACTCCTCCCTGTCGCACCCCGAGGCCAATCGAAAAAGCGGAACCGCCGTTTCGCCTGAGACTGCCTCACCAATTATGATCCGGAAGCCAAGCAATGTCAACAGTGTCACAAATGAAGGGCGCGTGGTTTTCAAACTGTAGCTCTCGCCTTAGCGCCGTGCGCATTTATTCTAAACGTTTGCAAGCGCTTCAAGGATTGAGGGCGGGTGGTTTTCAGAATGTGGCTCTCGCCTTGGCGCCGCGCACATTCGCTAAACAAACTGTAGAGGTTTCACGAAATGAAGGCAGGTAGTTTTGAACATGTGGCTCTCGCCTTAGCACCGCGCACATTCGTTTAAACTTTGTGCAAGAATTTCAAACATTGATGGCGGGTCTTTCTCGAAATGTGGCTCTCGCCTTAGCGCCGTCTACGCTCTTCTTACAACGAACTGCAAGAGTTTCACGGATCGAAGGCGATTCCTTCTGAACATGCGTCTCTCGCCTTAGCGCTGCGCACACTCGTTTAAACAAGTGCAAGAGTTTCACGGACTCGCATGGTTATAACGTATCAGAGGTTTTATTTTGGAGCGATTCTGGATTGTTAAGGCGCAGCAGGTACGTTGACTCGCGGTGTTGACATACCGAAAATGGCGTTCTGGCAGAATTCAGGATCGTCACGTCGCAACGGTCAGGTTGATTCGTGGCGGTTGAGTCCTGCGAATGGTGCTTTGGCGCGCTTCAAGATCTCCAAACGTTTCTCTCCCAACGGGGCACTTCCTTCAGTGGAAATGAATCCTTGAAGGGGCCTATGAAGAGGGAGCTTGGGGGGAGGGTTTACTCCAGCATCATTGACGAGTCTTGGGTTTTCGCTGGTCCACCTCCTCCTCCTCCTCAACCCCCTTCTTTCCCCCCTCCTCCCCCGAACATCCTTCCCCCCTCCAGCGCCCCCCCTGGTCGAGCCGCATCGGCCTTGAATCGGCGAATCCGCACGCTCCTGGGCAGGTTGGGACTATCGGCCCCAAGTCGGCGATCAATGGGCGATTGGGGGGCCGATGCGTCCCCCCCGAGCCTTCATATCCCACCCTAAAATTGCCCCTGACCGGTGCTCCTCGTCCTGCTTGGCTTTGGGGCATACAGCTCAACTCTCTAGCGGCCGTTCGGGACGATCGTGGTAGCCCCGGACCGCTTCCGGCGAGGCGCAGTTGATGGGAATCACCCTGGGCATCGACTGAGGCTACCCCTGACGGTCGTGGGGCCCGAGCCCGTCCACCCCTGACGTTTCCCCTGACTAGAGGAATACAAAGCAGCATAAACATAAACTTCTGGCGGGTCCTGAAGGAAACGAGTCCTGGGCCCCGGGGCCCTCCCCCAGGACTGCTTGCTCATCCTGCATCGTTTTCTGACAATCCCAGGGCCCCTGGAGGGTCCCGAGGGCCCGAAAACAGCGAAAAACCGTTGGACCCGTTTCCCTCAAGACCCGCCTTCTCCATGGCGACTGATCG